GGGTACAATAGTCTGGTCCAATAGTCGTCGGATCCAATAGCCGGGTCCAATAGTCGGGTCGAATAGCCGGGTCTAATAGTCGGGTCCAATAGTCGGGTCCAATAGTCGTGTCGAATAGTCGGGTCCAATAGCCGGGTCCAATAGTCGGGTCCAATAGTTGGGTCGAATAGTCGGTTCCAATTGTCGGATACAATAGTGGGGTCCAATAGCGGGGTACAATAGTCGGGTCCAATAGTCGGGTACAATAGCCGGGTACAATAGTCGGGTACAATAGTCGGGTACAATAGTCGGGTACAATAGTCGGGTCCAATAGTCGTGTACAACAGTCGGGTCCAATAGTCGGGTCCAATAGTCGGGTCCAATAGTCGTGTACAGTAGTAGGGTCCAATAGTCGGGTCCAATAGTCGGGTCCAATAGTCGGGTCCAATAGTCGGGTACAATAGTCGGGTACAATTGTCGGGTACAATAGTCGGGTCCAATAGTCGGGTACAATTGTCGGGTACAATTGTCGGGTACAATAGTCGGTCCAATAGTCGGGTCCAATAGTCGAGTCCAATTGTTGGCTCGAATAGCTGGCCGACATGCAGGTTTGTTTGAATAGTTGTTGCGGACCTCTTCCAAAAATGTAAGAAGAACTTTAATTAATACTTGTTGCATCATCTACAGACTATTGTAGTTTGTATTTTGTATTATGTCGCTACCTACACTGCCAGCCAACGATTAAGATTTCAATAGTGGTATGTAGATATCAATGATGCTGAAATAGCGGGAACAAAAAGGGAACAATAATATTTCTAGGATATTAATTCAAAATTGTCTGTAAAATCTGTTTAACCATTAGCTATTGTTAAGGAATTTCTAAGGTAAAGGCTGCTTACCATCACGGCCGCTTTGCCCGCGCGGGCGAAGCGATCTCGTTTTGGCATGGGAAGTAGGTTTCTTGTGTAAGAGTTTACGTCCGCTCCAGTGGTCCGCTCCACTGGTCCGCTCCGGTGCTCGAGAAAACGCAATTGGAAACGTTGTTACAAAAAACCTCTGTCCGATATTTCTCTGTACTGCCCTCGCGTTCGGTTAATAAGAAGTTATCATTTTCATGTCAAACAAGTCAGAAATATCTGTTTTCGTATGCAATTGCCAAAAATTTGAAATGAAACGTAATACAAAAACTACTATAAATCATACGCATTTCGTGTTGTCACGCAGTAAAATTTACACGCACGCGTAGATCGTGCTCATGTCGAATCGATTCAGTGCGTGGCCGCACTGATTTTAGCGAAAATTTTCTCGTGTTTTCTTCGGTTTTTTAAACTTTGTATTTTTGTTATACAACATGAGTGGTATTAAATATCGAAATTGCGCGAAAATCTAAAAAATAAATTTTTCTGTAACCGTCATTCACGAATATCTCGATAACTTATGTCTTTTTCCTTTATGTACAATCTTCAAAAACAATTTAATCCTCGAAAAATTTACGTAAGGAACATAAAGATATTTTCAATTTATTGTGAAATTAGGCAATAAACGTGCACAAGATAAAAGTTCATGGTTGCCATGGCAATACAAACATCGTAAGTACCGAAGTATTAAAATGTCAGATCTTTTTTCTTTGGCGACAAAAGTGTGCACTTCCACAGGTGCACTGTCCATAGCGCACAAGAAACATTACGAAATATTTAAAAATAGCCGCCGTTCGTAATAGGTCGGAGCGAGCGATGTGTTTACAACATATTTTGTTGTATTTGCTGTAAATAGTACGAATTAATTAACTATAAATATGAGTGCAAAAACATTGTTGTGACCAGAGTGCTAGAGATTGTCAGAATGTTATGTTAGAGTGTTAAGAGTGTTAATTATAGTCGGCCGGCCAAGGTGTCAAAAAGTGCCTCTAAAGAGAGTTTGATGGCAACTTTATGTTAGAAGCTGGTAACAGGCATTTTCTTATAGTTCAAGCCTTGGTGAATAAGATTGTGTCTGTTACCACTTCTGATTTTTGCTTTATAGCCAAAAAATTGAGAATTTTAAAATTTTGCCTATTAAATTACTATGATGGCAAAAAATGTAAAATTTCATGTTCTCTTATACAAAAAATAAACTGTACCACTAGAAAGACTGCAAAAAACTATATATAAGATAATTAAGCGACTAGTGCGATTTTCAAGCCGATTTTGAATTAAAGATGGTTAAATTTGGCAAAATGGGTACTAATTAGCATTAATTTGGTCATTTCTGCATTTTGTAACATTAAAAACTCGAAATAGGATTGAAAAACGTAGAACTCACTTAATTGTCTTATATATAGTTTTTTACGCTCTTTCTAGTGGTATAGTTTATTTTTCGTATAAGAGAACATGAAATTTTACATTTTTTCCGATCATAGTAATTCAATAGGCAAAATTTAAAAATTCTCAATTTTTTTACTATAAAGCAAAAATCACAAGTGGTAACACATATAGTCTTGTTCACCAAGGCTTGAACTATAAGAAAATGCCTGTTAGCAGCTTCTAACATAAAGTTGCCATCCAGTTGTACAAATTGATGACTTGGCCGGCCGTCTATTAAGAGTGTTTTACTTTTTGGTAAATCATATGAAATGTACATAGTACAATTGGTAGTATATAGTAAGATTGATTGATTGTAAAAGATATATTGGTTGAATAAACGAAAATTTGAAAAACAAAATACAGTCCCAACATTTTTTTGACTGAACCAGCGAGCGGGAAATTGATTGTTTCATTCATGAATTATCAATGAATTTTACCAACCCAGTGAACTCTACTATATACTGGAAGGATAACTGCTGAGAAACATGCCCAAACTTGCCTGAAGCCAAGATGGCGGAAATTGAAGTTCGTTTTGTTGGTATAAAACACGCGTGATTTTTGCGTGGGCTTGTCGCGTGGAGTCCAGAGCAGAGAAAGCGTGTTAAAATATTTTCACAAGTGTGGATTCAAAGACCAAGAAATTTCGGGGTTTTTGCTTGAAATGCGTAAGATTTTTGAACTCTTTTAACGGCAGTTCTAATGCAAAGTATATTTCTTGATTATAAGATACAATCAATCGAGTATTAAAATTATTTTATCAAGCGACGAGCGACATCGTTTTGCTTTTAATAATAATATTAAACTTTATTTGATGAGGGTAAATATACATTTTTACCTATGAAGGTATTCTACCAAATGGCCCTCTAAAAATTAGATAACCTACAGTATTTACAATATATACAAAGAAGCAAGACTATAGTTGCATTTGACACAGCACATGGGATTATACAACTTATAGTAGCAAATACGAAAATAACTGTATTACTAAGCATGCTTAATGTTGTTGTTTTTTTAGTTTTGACAATATAAGTTATTAAAAATTAAAAGAAAATTCAGTGCGAGTAACAAATGCACGTAATAACTAGGTTTTTGCAAGAAAGATACGAAAATTGTTCAAGATGGTCAACCTCATGATTAAGATTAGAGAAACATATATATACGCAGACGGGAAGTAATTGTTAAACACTTTCAGGTCATTTGGTAAAGAATTGAAAAGTAAAACACCACTGTATGAGAGTTTGGTCATGGAAAGATTAGACTTGACAGATGGTATTTTGAGATCAGTAACAGAGGAGCGAGTATGTACATCGTGCGATGCCCCAGAAAAACAAAACAACTCGCGCAGATCACTATAGGAGATGAGCTGCGCAAGGTGCTTACAACGAGTAAAATTTTTCGCATCTTAATTAAGTTGTAGATGGGAATCCATTCCAGTTTGCGGAACAGATCAACAGAAGGAGTTGACATACTCTCGTCCAAAGCCAATCTGGCTGCTCTTTTTTGAAGTTTAAGCAAAGGGTCGATAAGCTCATGACGTGCATTGCCCCAAATAGTGATGCCATAAAGTAAATATAATGGGGGTAGATAAAAGCATAGTAAAACTTAATTCTACATTTCAGTGGAAGGGCTGGGCAAATATGCTTAAACAGATTAAGCCTGGAATTAAAGTAGTTATATATCTTATTCACTTGGTTGTCCCAGGAGAGATTTTTATCGAGTAAGATACCTAAAAGTTTGCCAGAAGTAATTTCTTCAATCCAAAAATCCTCATAAAGTATGCTATCATAATCAAGCAGTGAATACTTACGCTTTGAATAAATTTTCACGAATTTGGTTTTGCTAAAATTTAAAGCCATATGGTTGCTTCTTGCCCAATTAGAGGTAATACACAAATCAGTCGACAAAGAAGCTTTGATATCAGGTAGCTCACAGCCATGGGCTAAAAGAGTCGAGTCATCCGCAAAAAGAGAAGGATGAGAGGTAGTAAGAAAAGATGGAAGATCATTGATAAATATTAAGAATAGTAGCGGGCCAAGAATGGAACCTTGAGGGACCCAGCTATGATTGTTAAAGGTTCTGAAAGGACTTCGTTAATTTGTACCTGTTGAATACGTTCGTCCTTCAAGATACGAGGCGAACCATTTTAGGGTTAGGTCAGTAGCTCCGTTTTATACTGACTGAAAAGTCAAACGTTCCAACAGCAACGAATTGGTTCAGTTTGGGATATATTTCTAGACTCAGGCCAACGAATCATTAATTAAAAGATAAGTATTGTATTATTTTACTCTTATTTTACTCTTATTTGTTATAAATATTGATTTTTGAACAAGAATCATTCAACTTGTTGATGCGCCAATCATTATTTATGGGGGGGGGTAAGGTGAATAATAGCTTTATTAGCATGACTATAAATGTACAGTATTGCTAAAGCGTATAAAGTTATAACAATATATAGAGAACTATGGTAAACTAGGATTATACAATTTACAAATTAGTATATGATTAATAAGAATAAGAAGAAAGAATGTAGACAAGTATAATATTTACAAATAAGGTGGTTATTACAACCTATGCTAACTAGCACTCCTGGTTTCAAGGTATTTAAGCCTTTGTTCAAGACATGAATAAACAAATTTTGACAGTTTAGTTATGATTTCACTATCAGTTGACTTCATTAAGTCAGCTGATAGAGCTTGAGACAGATGAGGCATTCTCTAAAGAACTTCGGAGGTCTTTACGAGAATGCTCATAGGCTTTGCAAAAGAGTAGGAAATGGGTTTCGTTTTCCACCTCTCCTAAATTACAGATTTCACATAAGGGTTTTTCTCGGGGTGTATTTTGGTATCGCCCGATCTCAATTTGGAGGTTGTGGCAGCTGCTGACTCTAAAACGTGAAAGACATTTTCTCTTGTATGGGTCTTTTATAATTATTAAGTATTTTTCGAGGTTGTGGTCCGTTTTGAATGTTGAATAGAAAGTTAATTTGGATGAATTTTCAAGTTTATGTTTCCAGAATGTCAAGTATTTTTCCTCAAGGGTTTTGGTAATAGCTTCAATATGTTCAGACGTTACGGCTTCCAGATTAGGGATTTCTTCATTTAGGTTTAAATTTTTGATTGTATCCATTGCATTTCCGTAAAAGGAAGTTTTCTGCCTAGAGTAGAGATCTTTCGAGATTAGAAATGCTTGCTTTGCAATGGCTGTTTCGGGAAGTGAGTTTAAGTGAGTGATGTATTTGAAGACCATTTTGAATACATTGATAATAAGAGGGAGTTTTCCAAGCTCAGCTCTGGAAGCAATGTTACTTGCTTTCCTACTGACAGCGAGGTATATTTTACAGAACTTAAGATGGACTTTTTCAATTGGTAACTTGTCCCAATTGTTGAAATCGTTTTTCACGTATGTCCCCATACTTCAGAGTTGTATAGTAGGATCGGGATTATAATAGAATCAAATATTTTAATGGCATATTTGGGATTGAGGCGGCTGAAGTTGAGCTGTCTTCTTATACCATATAAAGCATGCAAGGCTTTCTCACTTAGTTGCTTTAGAGCTAAAGTGAAATTGCCATTGTGATTTAGTTTGACTCCTAGGTAACAGTATTCCTGTACAATTGCTATGTTCCGATTTCCAAGATTAAACTTTGGGCTTGCCTTTCTTGTTTTTCGTTTTTCAATAATCATTATTTGTGTTTTCTTCAAATTTATCTCCATAAGCCATTTTTTACTCCAACTATGGAGATCGTCAGGAGATTTTTGTAGGCCGAATTTTGATCGAGATAATAAAATTAAGTCATCGGCATATAGAAGTTGAAGCATATACAATTTATACTGTTAACATCCCCCCCCCGGGCATACCCTTGGGCATTTGAACTTTTTGAAATTTTGTGGTCAAATTTCCCACAACCAGGACAAAAATGCTGTCCAAATGCCCCAACCCCCCGATCATTCTGACTGTAATTCTATCAGTTCAAGTTTGAAATTGTGTGAAAACATACACTGAATTCTGAAGGTAACTTCAACAGTTTAATAAGTGAGACCCCGTATTAAACAACTTACATCTCATGCTTTATAAAGCTTCCAAAAGTGTTTAAAGTATACTCCATTTTGAATTTTGTTTTTTAATAAATCTCAGACCTCGCGCAATCTGGTGTATTGGGTCATTCCTGAAAACATCCATACCACCCCCATGGAGGAAATTGGAAGTTAACCTCCCCTACCCCCTTCAGATGTCCTAATGCATTTACTCTTATCAGAAACAATTTTTTCTCCCCTCCCCCCTCCGGCAGAAATTTCCTCTGTGGGGGGAGTGTTGATCTTTTCTGGAAAGACCAAAGTGACCCAGCGTCAAATGCCCTACCCTAACAATGATTTGGATTCTTGCACTTCACTTGGTGGAATTAATATGAGAATCTTAGGGTTTGTAATCCAAGTGAAATGTCCACCTTATCACAACCCGCACACCCGATTACCTATATATGCATGAACGTACGGTTACAGCTCGACAGCTAGCCTCTGTAGCTCAGTTGGTTAGAGCGCTGCACCGGAATCGCAGGGCCGTAGGTCCAATTCCTACCAGAGGACCTTGTGCTGCATTTTTCGCAGTCGTTCCTGGTTAGGTCTTAAAATGCATATATTCCCACTAAGATTACAAACCCTAAGATTCTCGTATTAATTCCAGCAAGTGAAGTGCAAGAATCCAAATCATTGAAGTTCACCTTATCACAACCCGCACACCCGATTACCTATATATACATGAACTTACGGTTACGGCTCAACAGCTGGCCTCTGTAGCTCAGTTGGTTAGAGCGTTGCACCTGAATCGCAGGGCCGTAGGTTTAATTCCTACCCTAACAGCAGTTCAAAAAGTCAAATTCCCCACTGAAGTTGTCAAATGCCCGGTAGGGGGGGGGGGATGTTAACAATATAAATTTATCGGCGCATTAAATGGTGCATGTCACTGGGCATTCCGCTCTGTATGATTGTGGGTAGATAGAAACATTTTATTTACCCATGCTAACCCTATCAACCGAAGCTGATTTCCACAGGGGGTGTGTAGTGCTTCCCGTACATGAAGAGACACAATGTATAATATTTGTCTGATTCCACTTTATTACATTTACTTGGTGGTCATCTTCGATCATATCTTGGTTTGCACCTAGCTTGTGGTCTGCAAACACAGATTTGTTGCCATCCAGGAGAAAATGACGAAAAACTTCCAGAATCATTTTGCTTTTTAGGTTCTTCATGTTGCTGATGCTGTTGCCTTTCTGGCAAACATGCAGCTTGAAGATATGTTCACAGTGTTCATTTGTAGTGTAAACAGACATTGATTTGTAGTGTACTTGTTATGGTTAAATTAACCCATTAAGCGCCAGCGCTATCCCCTTGACAAGTGAAATTGTATGTATGTACGTAAACTTTATTTAAAGACGTTAGCCTCGTCAACGATTTGTTGATTTTCACGAGGGACGTCTGTTACTATTTAAAATTACAAATATGATATAGAAAAGAATAAAGAATTATATACAACTATTTACAATACAAGAATTAAGTTCCAAACGGTGTGACCCATATTTCTAAAGCATGCATATACAGTATATTAGAAGATGTTAGCGTGAATCTTTCAGGCAGTTTTTAAAAGAATAAATTGATTGCGCTAGCTTCGCATCAGAAGGAAGACTATTCCACAATTTAGCTCCGCTATACTTAAAGCTTTTTTTTAGAAATTCTCGTTTTGGCTTAGCAAGAGTAAGGTCAGTATAAGTATATTGCGAAGATTATAACTGGTTTGAACAAGGTCCTTTCTCGTTAGAGCATCCTTCAAGTTCGGCCCAGCGCAATCATTCAGGACTTTATACATTAATGTGGATTTAGTTGTACGTTGTCTTATCTCTAAATTTTCCCAAGCAAGGGATCGAAGAACATCAGCAGACCTTATTTCATAGCTGGCGCCGGTTATAATTCTCGCTGCACGGTTTTGGAACTTTTGAAGCTTATCTTCAGCTGTTGGTTACAGACGTCCCATAATGGACTACAATAATCAAAATACGGTTCTATCAAAGCTCTGTAAATGGTATGCAGGGTATTTATAGGAACATATGGCTTAATTCGTTGCATTGCTCCTATGCCGGCCCCAACTTTCTTACAAATCATTTCAACATGCTCATGCCAATTAAGGTTTTCATCAAGTTTAACCCCAAGGCATGTGTATGAATGAGCAAGAGTTATGAATTGGTTATTCATCATTACTGGAATATCATAAGTCATAGTATCAGTATTATACTTTGAACCGATATACATTAATTTGGTCTTAGTTGGGTGGTGTTGCAGTTTATTTCGAGCAAGCCACTCACCGACTTTTTTCAGGTCATTATTTAGATTTTCAGTAAGTTCCTCAATAGTTTTGGCAGAAGTAGAAATTTGAGTATCATCAGCGTATAGGTGTGGCGAAGTTTTTTCGAGGCATTCGGGTAAATCATTAATATATAATAAAAACAGCAAGGGACCAAGAATTGATCCCTGCGGAACTCCGCACACAATCGTTTTAGGTGATGACATTGCACCGTTGACAATGCATGCTTGCTCTCTATTAGTTAGATAGGACTTAAACCAATCCAGTTCCACATTTTTTATTCCAAATTGATCATTCATCTTTTGCAATAAGATTGTATGATCAATAGAATCAAAAGCTTTTCTAATATCAAGGAAAACAACACCACTCAACTGACCATTATCCATGTTCTCATAAAGTGTGTCACACATTTGAATGAGTGTTGTTAAAGTTGAATGCTTAGGCCGAAAGCCAGATTGATGTTTAGATAGCAGCGAATTATCATTCAAAAACTTATAAATCTGGTTGAAAACCGATCTCTCTAGTATTTTACTGACAATAGGCAATATAGATATCGGTCGGTAATTTTCACATCTTTGTCTATCATCAGATTTAAAAATTGGCATTACCCACGCCTTTTTCCATTCATCAACATATATCCCAGTTTTGATTGAAAGATTATAAATCCATGTTAATGAAGGACCAATAACTTCCGCGGACAATTTAAGAGCTATAGCAGGGATGTTATCAATACCGGTAGACTTTGAAGTTTTAAGATTACGTAATTGACAAATAATATCGTCCATACTAATTTCAGAAAACTTAAAATTTATATTAGAGTAATAGTTAGAGTGGTAATTTTCATCATCTGAAAAGTTCGTACATGGAGAATCGTTCTCAATTTCATTAGCCAAATTTACCCCGATGTTAACAAAGAAGTCATTAAACGCCTCAGCTTTCAAAGTATCATCTGAAATCACAACATCATCACATTTAAGTTGAGAGATATTATTTGATTTTTTGTTTTTACCTAAGAGAATATTAATTAACTTCCAACTATGTTTCATATCTTTCGATTGTGCGCAGTTCTCAAATTTGTTACAGAAAAATGCTGTTTTAGCTTTAGTTAGTTCCGAATTGACTTTGTTACGTATTTCCTTGAATTTCTCCCAGTGAATCTGGGAATTATTTTTAACAGCCATTTTCTTGTAAGAGTTCCTAACCCTCATCAGATTTTTGATATCAGGGGAAATCCAAGGAATAGAATTTCCTCTAAGTCTCATCAGTCTTAGGGGCGCATGCCAATCAAGGACGTGTAGGAAAAGGGATCTCCATACCCGCCAACAAACATTTGGGTTATCATAAAGCGCCACATTTTCCCAGGGCATCTGGGAAAGATCATTAAGAAAGTTATTGGCATTGAATCTTTTGAAATTGCGAACATATCTTGTCTTTTGCCGAGATTTAGTGACACAATATTTTCTAACGGCAAAAACCAAACTGTGATCAGATATTCCAAGATGAATAACACCAGATTTCGAAATATTTTCCTCTTTGTTTGTCAATATCAAGTCTATTAAGGTTACTGATGTTCTTGCTACCCTTGTAGGTTCATTAATAAGTTGTCTATACTGGTAAAGTGAGGATAGAAATTGTAGTCTGCGTGTGTGAGCTTCGGGAGGATATTTTATGGTATCACAATTCAGATCCCCCATTATTATTACTTCAATATTTTCCAAGTCGCATTTTCTAAGAAAAGTCTCGCATTCATTAAAGAGACTAACCTCAGAATTAGGCGGTCTATACCATGTAACTATTAGAAATGACTTATTGTGTGGTTTCGTAATTTCAATGCATAGCATTTCTAACGAATCAGATATTAATAAGTCATTTCGTTCAAAAAATGGTAAAGATTCTCGCACATATAATAACACTCCCCCACCATACCTATTTCTATCTTTACGGATATGATAATATCCAGGTATGCTAATTTCATCATCAGACACTGAATGGTCAATTTTTGTTTCATTAATCACCAGAATGTCAATAGAGCTATTTTGCGTAATGATACGGAGCTGGTCGATACTTTTTAAAAGACTATTAATATTTAAATTTGCCATTTTTAGGCCTTTAGAACAATCTAAATCAGAAAATATTTAATCACAAAATGCCGCTAACATATCTTGTAATGTTCTGTTTTGTCGCTCAACTTGCCCATCACATTGAGGGTGATACGCGGTTGTTCTGGTCTTTGTAATTCCCATTACATCGCATACTTCATGCATTAACGTGCTTTCGAAATTTGCACCTTGATCAGAGTGCAAGACAACTGGGGGACCAAAACGACTAAAAACTCTATCAACAAGTATTTTTGCGACAGTAGATGCCTTTTGATCCGGCGTAGGAAAAGCTTCACACCATTTGGTGAAGCGATCCATTAATTAAGATCCATTGTGCTTGTTACCACGATTTGTTTCTGGTAAGGGACACATGTAATCTAAAGCCCAAAATGTAAATGCTCGCTAACTTGTAAACTTTGCAATGGGGCTGTGCCATTGCTGGCCGTCAGTGCTGGTGTTTTCCTTTTGACGCATGTGTCACATTGGCGAATGTAATTTTCAACTGATTTCCGCATGTTTGGCCAAAAGAAACGTTTCCTAATGCAATCTAATGTTCGTGTGACCCACAAATGCCCGGCGAATGGACTATCGTGAATGTTTTTAGAATTGTAAAAGCGTGTTCACAATCTGCGGTCCAGTTAAACAGCTTATTGCTGGTTTTCGTGGTCAATTTAGTGAGAGGCGCCGAAATCGTTGCATATATAATCCTTAATAAAACGGCGGTAGTATCCTGACAACCCTAAAAAATTTTGGACTTCCTTCACTGTCTTTGGTACAGGAATCTGTTTTATTGCTTCAATTTTTGACGAGAGCTGGCTAACTCCGTCTTCGGATATCATATGTCCTAAATAGTGAACCTCTTTAGCTGCGAAAGTACATTTTGCTAAATTTAAGCGCAAATCATGCTGCCGGAAGCGAGTTAAGACCGCTTTTAATCGGTTACAATGTTCAGTAATACTGTTACTAAAGATAATTATGTCATCTAAGTAGCAAAGACAAATACTATATGTAAGGCCAGCTAAAGCTAGTTCCATTGCTCGTTTGAATGTTGCAGGCGCGTTTACTAAGCCAAAAGGCATACGATTAAATTCATATAAGCCGCCATGCGTGACAAAGGCAGTTTTTTCACGGTCATCAGGGTGAACGGGAATTTGCCAGTAGCCGCTTTTGAGGCCTAGTGTGGTAAAATACTTCGCATTCCCAACCGAGTCAAGTAAATCGTCAACCCTTGGCAGAGGATGTGCGTCATTGCGTGTAATCTGGTTAAGTCTATGGTAATCAATACAAAAACGTAATTCGCCTGACTTTTTGCGAACCAAGACAATTGGGCTAGCCCATGGGCTGGTATTAGGACTGATTATTCCCTTACCTAACATGTCTTCAATTTGCTTGTTAGATTCTTCGCGAAATGCATATGGCATTCGCCTGGCACGTTGCCTAATCGGCGGGTTATCACCGGTGTCAATTTTATGATGTGCAATGTTGGTTTGGCCAATTGTGTCGCTAAATAGTTCTTTAAACTCGCCTAATACTTGTTTTACTTGTTGTTTTTCGGAGTTACTTAAACCCGCATCTAAACGGGAATCGATTTTCTGCCCAAGATTATCTGCTTGCACGGCATTACAATTAACCGGAAATTTATTGTTGGCAACGGCTTCCTGCTCAAGTATGGGACAAAATTCCGTTGTAGTATTAGCTATTCGGACTGGTACGGTTTTACCAACAGGGGTGACAACTAAATGAGCTACATGTAATCCTTGTAAGTGTCTAACACTATCTGCCTGACTAGCTGATATCATGTCAACCTGTGAAATATCTTTCGCCTGTATCTTACCTTCAATTACCATTTCCGATCGAGCCGGAATTGCCACTCCTTCCGACAGAATTACTTTATTGACACCTTTCAACTGAGATTGCACAAGTACCGCATTGGTTTTCTTCGCTTCGTTGGGGGAAACAACGCGTGATTTGGCCTCTGTAATCACAACTCCGTTCGATTGCACCTTCATTGCTGGATGCTCCGCATGTATTGGGATTTTCCCATAGGTCCCCACTAACTGATAACGACTTCGCCCTCCCAAGAAATCCCCTTGAACACTTAATTTATACTGCGTAATAAAGTCCCATACCAAAACACAATCATACGGTGTATTACTACTAACAAGAAAAGAACTATGATAGTTATGTTTAGAACGTGAAAAGGTCACGCTCGTAGATACGATTCCTGCAATATTTAAGTCCCCTCCAGTAATTGAGGTACAACGCTGTGACTGCGACTTATTTATACTTTATTTATTTATACTTTATTTATTTAAAAATGGTAAATACATTGCAGCCATGAGCTGAATTGCGTATTATACTTACAATTAAAAATTATTAAAAATTAGAGTTTTGAAATATATCAAAGTATTATAATTAATTAACTAAATTGTTAAAAGTGTCTGTTTATAATAAGCATGCAAAAGTTATTAAGAATATAAAATAGGTAAATGAAGAGTAAAACCTATTCAGTTTTGCTAATCGATGCCATAATAAAACTATTACTAAACCGATTGGTTTTACAAACTGGAACGTCAAAAGATCTAATAGATCTTAGGTCGTGGATGGAGTTATGCCTTGGCGGCAAGAGGTAATGTAGACTGTGATTAGAATATTTGATAATTGCATTAAACAATTTCTTGCAACCGTTTTGATGGTGAGTGGAAAGATGTTCACTTCCACTGAGATTTAAATCTTCCTCATATTTCAAATGGGGATAAATAATTCCAAATACGCGTTTCTGGACTCGTTCCAAATCTTGACTTAAATACTTGGGTAGGCTGTAGTGGAAAACCGGGACAGCATAGTCCAACACAGATCTTATGCAGGTTATGTAAAATGTGATTAGTTCTTGAATTGGGATTTTTGCTCTCTTAAGTTGAATAAGGAAATATATCCTTTTGGAGGCTTTCTTGACTAATTCAGTGATATGTTTATTCTACGTAAGGTTGTTGCTAATGTTAAGACCAAGCACTTTAAAATCGGATACAACTTCTATGATTTGATTCTCAATTGAAATTGGGTTAAGCTCGGGTTGATTCCGTGGAAAAGAAATTCGTATCTCCTTACATTTATCAGCATTTAATTGCATTCTATTGATATTGGACCAATCTAAAATTTCATTTGCAATCAGTTGAGCTTCACTGTGCTCGCCTTGCAATACGACTTCCGACGCCGTAGTATCGTCAACGTATTTCCATAAGTTCTCACTATGTTTCTTCAAATCATTAATCATTATTAAGAAGAGCCAAGGGCCTAATTTGGTTCCTTGAGGAACACCAGCCGGTACTTGGTCCCATTCAGAAAGGCAACTATTTGACAGCTTAACCCTTTGATATCTATCCGATAAAAAGTCGATAATCCAGTTGATGATACTATATATATAGTTGGTAAATCTAAAGCACCTAACTTGATCCTTAGGATACTATGATCGATGAAATCGAATGCCTTTTTATAGTCAAATAGAAACACTCGGATAGTTGCTCCTGTTCCGTCCAGCATTGAGGTCCAGTGATGTAACATGTCTATTAAAGCAAAAGTGGTTGAAGAATTAGGAATAGAACCAAATTGATTTGAGTCGATGGATTTCAGAACCGCAGGTTTGATATATCTATTTACCACACATTCTTCAGCTACTTTGGATATGCTCGGGGTCAGTGATATAAGTCTGAGATCTTTTTCTAAGATTTGAACTGACTTAGATTTAGGTATAGGTAAAACATTGGCTAGTTTCCACATCGATGGAAGTCGTTGTTGCTTGAAGGAAGCATTTAAGATGGTACTAATTGGGAACGCTAATATTATAGCTGCATAATCACGAAGAAGCCAATTTGATATTTCATCAGGACCACAAGTTTTTGTAGGGTTCAGCTTTGATAAATATGAATACACTGTTTCTTCAGTGACTACTAAAAACTCAGGGTTGTTAACTTCTAGCTCGAAAGGAAGAAGGGGGCTGGGCAGTTTATATACAGATAAGGGATCCAAGAAAGCTTCATTGATCTTGTTAGCTAATTCTTGCTCAGATAATTGTTCGAGGTTTTCAATATCTATTATATTTCTAATATCACTAGATCTAGTAGATGCCATTCCACTTAAACCCTTTACTTTTTTCCACCATTCCTTGGAGTCTGTTTGTTTCATTTGATGTACACGGAGTTTATAATAGTTTGATTTACAGATTTTCCTTTGAAATGATAGTATTGTGGTCGGATAGTCCAAAAGGGGGCATTATTAGAGGTTTTTCATAATACTCGGGCAGATTAGTTAAGATGATGTCGAGAATCGCATTTCTGCGGGTAGGAGTCTGAACTATCTGTTTCAGTTGAAAATGATGTTTGATTCTGTTAACATTAAGACGATTAAAGTCACCTGCAACAATAAGTGCGCAGTTTAGAAATTTTGACTCTGCCTTTTTTAATGACTGGAATAAATGGTCTCTCATAGAATAATCATCTGCTCCAGGGGGGTGGTATACTATAGCTACGATAATACATGAGAACTTGCGTGGAATACGAGTAGGTCTAAGGTGCAGCCATAGGATTTCGTGCTCCTGGCAGCAAGATAACTCTAAAATCTGTTTATATTTAACATCTCGGTTATTAACGTATGCACAAACCCCGCCATGGGATTTGTTAATTCGGTCCCTACGCATTATTGAAAAACCGGGAATGTTCACCACGCTGTCAGGAATAGAAGCTTTAAGCCAGGTCTCTGTGATAAATACCAGGCTGATTTGATTCCGGTGAATAAATTCGCGAACTTCGTCAACTTTTGGAACGAGTGACATGACATTAGACAGCATTAATTTTGGGACATGTTCAAATTTAACAGCTTCATCTAGTGGAATTTCAACCAAGTTAAAATCGGACGTTTTATATTTATTCCGAAACCTCTTGCAATTGTAGTTATGAGTTGTAGTTATCTAATTGTAGTCATCTAATCGACCATAGTCAAAATCAAAAATATTATGAACTTTATCGCTAACAAAAGACTTCATTGATCCAGTATTTAACAAAGCATTGACAGGTACGCCGTCAATGAGACAGGCAACAAATGGATGTTCTGGCAAACTATCATTAAAATCATTAGTATAATTATTAATAAAGTCACAGTTCTTACTTGTTTCGGAGCTGTCTACCGGCCTGTGGTTCCTCGAGATGACCCTTCGAAGTTTAAAGGCGCATAGTTCCCACATTCACGGGCGAAGTGTCCGTATCTCCCGCATTCGTAGCATTGCACGTTGGAACGGTCTTGGCGTTGGCTTGAACTGCGACACTCTCGAGCAATGTGGCCTTGTTTTCCACATCGAAAACACGTAACTTTTGGTCGTGGACGTTCGTTTTGCTTGATTGCTGCGGCATATAACTGCTGGGAAGTGGCCACTTGGTCTTCGAGCGCTTTCTGTCGAGTTACCAGTTCGGTCATTAAACCCACGAGTTGGTCCATGTCCGCTGTCTGCTTGTGTGTTGATGCGCTTGCGCTCGTATGTGCAGGGACGTCGCGGTCTTCGATCGCTCCATAACGTTGGACAAAACTTAGCATCTCGCTTAAGGTTGGTGTGGGGTTGTGAGCCAAAAGTTTTCCTCGTATAGAGCTCGGCAGACCACGCATGAATTGGCGGGACAAAAGAGCAGATTTGGCTTCTACAGCGAGGTCGGGATCGGCTTTTTCTAGAAGTTGTTCCAACTCCCACTTGTAAACCGACGGATCTTCACCAGTGCGAAGCATTCGGGTTTCAAATTTTGCGTTATAGTTTTCCCTCTCAACTGGCGGACACAGGGCTTGCTTTAGCTTTTTTGTTGCGGCGTCGTATGTAGCTCTTTCAGCGACAGGGGTTGCGTAGGAATGTGTAGCTGCGCGTCCTCGTAGAAACGCTGGTAATTTCTTAATTTTGTCCTCGTCTTTCCAACCATTGGCTAAAGCGCACGCATCAAACTCTCTTAGCCATGCGACAATATCGCCTCCATCGAATTTGGATGGGAGAATGCTCGAAGCCATTTTCGTTGACGTCGTCTTTTTTATTATCCCACCGCTGCCACCAGTTGTAACGTAGCGAGGCACCGTAAATAACACACTCGGTTTTAACAGTTTATTTTATAACTTCCTACATGTGCAACCTTCTCTCTCAGGGTGCACTCTCACTCTGACTAGATTTCATATAGCATGCCAGTTTTACATTACTTTATTTACCGTATCATGTTACACATATAGTACTGTGGAAAATAATTATGAACGTCATGTAAAAACAATGAAATGGAACAAAAAGTGTAAACAAAGGTTAAGGTGGCATAGCCAAGATGACATCTCTCCTTGATAATGCCTGTCTTGCTGCCTGTCTGGCAGCAGACAAGGTAACATACGACTATATATGGTTTAATAAATATATGGTTTAATAACTATATATGGTTTAATAAAGTTCTGGCCGGAAGTTTTTCTGGTTTCTTTCAGATCTGCTTCCGGCCGGAACTTTAAACATTGGTTCCGGTGCACCCCTAGTGGAAGGAATTATTAATTGTAAATTTAAATGCACTCCTCATTTTTAGGTGCACTTCCTCGGTCATCGCAAGATAAACATTACAGTCAAATCGGATGTTCTCTTGCGAGCAACATTGTCCCACAATATTGCAATTTTGATAGGCAGATTTCTCAGAGTAAATTGTAACTGACGCGAAAAAATTGCAAGTTGGAAATTCACAAAAGATTTGTAAACAAAGCCTCTGATTGGATTATAAGAAAGAGGGAAGCCAATCAAATAGTCTGAGCAACTGGATTGGTGCTTCCCTCTTTCTTCTAGTCCAATCAGACACTTTGTTTACAAATCTTTTGTGAATTTCAACTTGCGATTTGTTCGCGTCGGTTGCAAATTGCTCAGAGCAATCTGCCTATCAAAATTGCAACATTGTGGGACAATATTGCAATGTTGCTTGCAAGAAAACATCCGGTTTGTCGGTTTTGAATTAGTACATTCCCCACAATATATTCTGGTTTCTTGTGCGAAACATTTAGAACAAACACTCGGGTTAACTGTCTGCAGCTCAAGATGAAAGAGTTTCAAATCAACGTACACATTTTTGTATGTAGAAACAATGGTGCAGAATAACTTTCATATCCCTTACAAGATAGCACAAATCTTAAGTTTAACACAAGTTTCTCAGCTCATATGTAACTCAGTATTTAAAAATATTGCGTGAGCATTGCATAAATTACTTAGTCTACAAACCTTGAGTCTCAAACTGGTCATCATTAAAAGAGTGATCAACTTCATTATCAGGTGCCAAATCATTTCAGATGTGAATGCATCTATGAACAACAAAAAATATCGAAATACTTAGTTTATACAGTATATACTGAATAGCATTAGTAGGGCATTTGATTTTGGGTTGCTCAAGGATTTGACAAAAGTTATTTGGTTTATTAAAATAAAGTAATCATTTTACATACTTGTGGTATATACATGTCATGTATAGGGTTGGGTGATATTAAAATAGTCATCTCACAATTATTGTCAAGTTAATTATCACGATATTCGATAATATCAAACAATATCACACTAGTCATCAAGCATATATGACAATAATCTCGATATGTCGTCGCTCAAGTTTCTACTTTCTACCTTTGATACGATAATTGCGATTGAAAATATTGCGATAAATCAAAATATTGAAATATCGCTCAACCCTAGTATTAGGTACCTATAACATAATGCAAACAAATGATCAGGAGCGCTGGAGCGGACTGGTCCATACTTTTACCGGGAAATCTGAGAAAGCCAGAGGGCACTTATATGAATGACCTCTTTCAAAGAATACATGAAAGACGGATGGTGCACCTCCAAATACACAAATTTTAAAAATAAACAAATAGTAGGCTTTACCAAACAATTATGAGAAGTGAGAACAAAACAACTGTAATGATAAATGCTGGGAAATTTGATACTGGTAGACCTGGTATGTGTCTAAAGGAGCTTACATCTTCCATTTTAACATCTTACATCGTGTAACTTTGTTTTGTAGATAATACCATGTAAATTATTTGTTCATAGTGTTTGATCTGTGTGCCCGGATCTTCATCAGTGCATCATCAGTGCAGATAATATGAAGATCCGGGCACAAGGACTGAAAGCTATGCACAAATAATTTTTGTGGTGTTATCTACAAATTTAAACAAAATTTTTATTGGATTTTTGCCATGCAAAACCTGAAACCTTCAAATAACTTATCTTTCATTTTACTGGTACATTAGAGACCCTGACTGCCTTGTCAATACTGTATGCGCATTCTGTTAAAGACCATGTCAAGTCCGTAATGTAACAAATCCTTTGGTCACATTTTGAACTGGTATATTTGTAGAATAAAACATACAGTACTAACTGAATATCTAACACTTTTCTGGTTTGCTATTGTAAATGATTGAGTACATTTCAATTCAAAAAAGTTTGAAAGATGCAAAAGTTGGGCAATGTTTATATCTGCAAGTCCCCCTTTGGTATGAGCAGAACTGATGCACAGATCGGACATGACATGGTCTTTAAGACAGGTTTGTGTTGTGAAATCACTGGTCTGGTGACATTCATACTGCTATCTTTTGCATATTGTTTATAATATCACCAGTAACCACACAACTATTATATGCAGTATATAGTATAGTCAGCATAGGAATATCACTTTACAAATAGTTTAATACATATTATTAAACATATACAAAACACATCGTAACATGGACACACTGCAGGCAAATCATTATGATTAAAGGCAATATTAACCGAAATTATGTCAAATTTTAAAACGTAAATAAGCTTACTAAACCTTTCCAGTGTTTTTATTACGTTGAACATCTTTCGACCATACGTTTTCGAGGGCAACGACAATGGGGTCTCTCGTTAAATATAATATAAATTGTATTATTAAAATTGTTCTTCCACAAATATCATCAAGGAATCCATCATTGGTTTGCTCTCTTTTCCTCGTTCTAGGCTGAGGAAAATTGTTTGCCACATTCGATAATTTTCTCATTTTTTTCTCTGTCCATCTGCTATACACCGAACAGTTCGAACAAATAGGCAACTAAAGGCAGCTAGCACTATGAGAACTGTCCGCCATCTTGTCTTTTACAAATTACGTCGCTCAAATCTGGAGCCTGGGACTGTTGTGAGATTTTTACGCCTATATGATGCATTGCATCATACGTGCCTGTATGCGCGTATGTCATATATCATCATAGGAAACGAGAGACCATGTTGATTTGCCTCGAGTTCCGCGCGCCTCTGTATATCTTTACTGCGCTTCTCATATGAACCCAACCTAAATTAATATACAAACAATATGTGAGGCGGGATCTCGGCACTTGAAAACCAGCCCGGCTAGCCGGGCCAGCCCGGCAGAGCAGGGCTCATATGAACAGCCCCTAATATTGGCTGTCATATAATATTCATAGTCCGATAGAAAATCGTGAACCGTAAAAACAAAGACATGTAAATTTGTTTTTTGCACAAGCATGCAGTTATGAAGCCATGACTAAGCGAGATGAAATTGTTGGGCCTAGCAACAATTCAGATAATTTGTTACCTTAACTTAAGGTGGCTCCCTAGGGTTTTTTAATTTACTACACTGTATTCAGAAGATTCCTGTTTCTTCACTTTACATGATATGAAGACGAAATTTATTGGGCAGATTGACAATGTTCTCCTGAACATTACAAATTGCTACTTTCGTGTTAAAAATATGTTGTCATGGCAACAGCATGCTTAGAATAAAGCTCAAAATTTGTCTTTTTCAGGTCATTTTAAAAATTCCCTTCGGTGAAATTTTTGAAAACTTTGCACAAAAGATAATACTTGTTTGATGATTTTTTCCCCTCAATTTAAAAAAATTAAATCGATACTATTCTTAGAAAATTGAAAAAACGTCAAAAATCAATATTAAAAATTTTCCCTTCGATTTAATTTTAAGTGAAAAGGACTTATTGTGCCGGCAATATTAAAAAATGTGCAAAGTTTTAAAAAAATTTACCGAAGGAAAACAGAGAAATTTGCGTTTAATTTTAGCAATTTTTACTAGAATTTTACGCGAACAATTTAATACCCCTACTGACGTGTACATGCATTCTGCATAAAACAAGAAGGCATGACTTTTTTGAAATCACAAAATATAAATTATGTTTGATATAATATTTATAACTGTGTCGGTTAATGGTCAACTAAGCGTGGATTATACATGTAAAATTGGCAAAGATATTTAGGTCATTTATTTTAATACTGGTTATGACTTCTTGGTATTAATTTGAAAAATGTTTGTCAAATTCATCCCGTGCGAGTTAGTACTATCGTCGAATGTTTTCGCAAAATGCCCGTACAAATTTCAGTTTTTATAGTGGTATATGTTTGGAGTTTCGGCCCTGCTCATTTCACCCGTAGAGGGCTCATTATTTAAGTCAGGGAAGCCGGAAGATCGATAATTGGGGGGGGGGGCAGATATTCATATATTCCTGTTCTGCCCAATTAATTTCTTTTGAAATCTATTGTTTTTACAGTCTGTGAACACGAATTTATGAATATCTGCCCCCCCCCCAATTATCGATCTTCCAGCGTCCTTGATTTAAGTCATCTTTATTATCATTAGTGCTGCTAGATTGTGGAGAAAACACTGCAAATACTTGAGGAAACTTTATATCATATCTGATATCTCAATGTTCGCGATCGAACCTCGCGTACGTCGGTTCAAAAAATTTCCAGAATACCGCTTGAAAAAAAACAAATTTACATTATCTTCTTTTGAAACATCACATCGAAGTATCGTTTTGGCTTTTAGAACTCTTTTTATGCTTTCGACTAAAGCAAAGTTCA